GGTGATTACATATATGTAAGCACCACTGGTGCAATTGTGGGGTGGTGGGGGTATCCTATAGCCTTGTTGTTTTGTTTTATTAAGGTAAAGGAAGTGAACTAGATAGAGAAAGCGCCAAGCCATTACGACTATACAGCACTGGGAAGGCGGGGGGGGTCAGGATAAGGATTTGGGATGGATAGGAGGGAAGGAATGGTGCCCAATCACTTGGACGTTCGGAGATTGAACGCCGACCTGTATGAAGCGAGACCGTCGGTCTACCGTCCATCTCAAGTGGTTGGTGATATTCAGGGAAGGAAGATCTGTTATGAGTACATCATATTATGTTTATTTAATGTTTAGTATTCGTAGTTGACGTTGGACTTCACTTCAATTTACCTTTTCAGGTTTCAAGAAAATGAAAGGGATCTTATTTTATCCACAGAAATCTTAAGCCTTTTTTTTCCAATGTATTTTCTTGACATTGAAAATGTTTGAAAGATCGAGATATTGAAACATGGCTGATACTTGGGTCTTTCTGCGCCATGGTTCGTAGTTTTCCAGAGTAATTATAGTGATTTGAAGAAGTGATTTAGTGTTTCGGAGTGATTAGTGCTGCGACGTGATTAGTGATACGAAGTGATTAGTTCTGCGACGTGATTAGTGATAGGAAGTGATCAGTTCTGCGACGTGATTAGTTATACGAAGTGATTAGTGCTACGGAGGAGTGATTAGTGCTACGAAGTGAGGAGTAATTAGCGCTGCGAAGTGATTTAGAGTTGCGGAAAATAGTGTTTGTGAGAGTTCTTTCTTAAATTGACAGAAATGTGACGCCTCCAGCTGTGTGTACTACATGGAGGTGTGGAGGCCTACTCCAGTGCGAGGGGTCCGCCCCCTGCTCCAGGCCACCGACTGTCTCTCCTCCACGGCTTTATCCTCCACCACCACTGCTTTATCCACCTCCACCACTACTTTATCCACCTCCACCACTATATCCTCGTCCTCCACAGCCTTCCTTCCTCCCTCTAACTTCTTTACCTCGTTCTCGAACGCCTTTGTGACGTCTTCCAATACCTTTTCCAACGCCTTTTCCTCGTCGTCGACGTCGCCATCGTCGTCGTCGTCGTCGTCGCCTTCCCCTCGCGGGTGGGGAGTGAGGGCGGAGGGTGGCTACATGAAGGGGTCGTGTGGGGGGGAGCTCGGGAGGGGTCAAGCTGCCCCCGCCCGCCCCCGCCCCCACACACAGCCAGCCATAGTGGTGCACCCGGAGACCCGGCTCCCAGACGCGGCTTGTCACCCCCGTGTGCCTTGTAGGACACAAGACGCTAACAACCCCTGCCTCGCTAACAACCCCTGCCTCGTTAACAACCACTGCCTCACTCCCGAACCCCTCCACCGGACACTGAGCACGGCTTTGGGCTCGTACACCCGAATTTCCACGCACGTGAACGGAGCGACGGAAAATGCAATCCCGAACAATTACTCCCACGGCGACAATGTGGGGGAGCAGGAGGGGGGTGAGGTGGGTGTGGGGTGGTTTGGTGTGGGGGTTGAGCGCAGCCTCGACCACCCCACCTCCGGCTCCACCATCAACGGCCTCCCCACCTCCGCTAACCACCACACTTACCGCGCCATTGAAGAGTCGCTCAAACTCCACAAAACTGAGAACGGAAAGTTGCCTTCGGCTTACGGCGCGGAGAACGGCGTAGCGGCGTCCAGATACAACAACATCAGGAACGCTGCGCAGGTCTTAGCGGGGGCTGGGCGCGGGTCTGCGGCCCTGCCCCTAGACCTGGGCATCGGGGCAGCGGGCATACAGCAACCCACGCGCGCGCGCTCGCGTCCCTCCGGCAACCACATATCCATCCGGCCCAAACTGTGCCTGCCGTCAGACGACCAGGACCCCGACAGCCCCGACGAAGGCCTGCTGGAGGGACCTGCTGGTCTGACCGGACGGGTTAAGAACCTGTGCGGCTCTTTCAATCTGGCCGGCGACACCATGGAAGGCATCATCCAGTGTCTCGTCTTCCTCAAGGCCTTCAGTGTATGTATCATCTCAGCTATGTTCTTTTTTGTTCTCTGTCTTGGGTAATAATGCTGAGAAAATCTTGTAGGAGCCGTGAGGGGGATTCGAACCTGTGGTCACTTTTGACCACTACATCCTTCTCCTCCTCCCGGCCTCGACTGATTTTCTAATTGATACACCGTGGTAATATGGGATTTCTTTGTGTCATTAATAATGCTTTTTGTGTATGTTTATCCTTGGCTGTCCCAGCTCTTTGCTCACATATCCCAGTCCCTTGTCCTCTTATCCCAGCTCCTTGTACTCTTATCTCAGCTCCTTGTCCTCTTATCCCAGCTCCTTGTACTCTTATCTCAGCTCCTTGTCCACATATCCCAGCTTCTTGTCCACACATCCTAGCCCCTTGTCCTCTTATCCCAGCTCCTTGTCCACATATCCCAGCTCCTTGTCCACATATCCCAGCCCTTTGTCCACATATCCCAGCTTCTTGTCCACATATCCCAGCCCTTTGTCCTCTTATCCCAGCTCCTTGTCCACATATCCCAGCTCCTTGTCCACATATCCCAGTCCTCTTATCCCAGCTCCTTGTCCACATATCCCAGCCCCTTGTCCTATCCCAGTCCTTGTCTTATCCCAGCTCCTTGTCCACATATCCCAGCCCCTTGTCCACATATCCCAGCTCCTTGTCTTATCCCAGCTCCTTGTCCACATATCCCAGCCCCTTGTCCACATATCCCAGCTCCTTGTCTTATCCCAGCTCCTTGTCCACATATCCCAGCTCCTTGTCCACATATCCCAGCCCCTTGTCCACATATCCCAGCCCCTTGTCCTCTTATCCCAGCTCCTTGTCCACATATCCCAGCTCCTTGTCCACATATCCCAGCCCCTTGTCCACATATCCCAGCCCCTTGTCCACATATCCCAGCTTCTTGTCCTCTTATCCCAGCTCCTTGTCCACATATCCCAGCCCCTAGTCCTCTTATCCCAGCTCCTTGTCCACATATCCCAGCTCCTTGTCCACATATCCCAGCTCCTTGTCCACATATCCCAGCTCCTTGTCCACATATCCCAGCTCCTTGTTGCTAACTATAAGTATTGTTAGGTGGGTTGTTAGTGGCTTACGAATCCTTCTCCCTATCCCACTGACCTTTCCACACTCCATCCCATTATACTTACCTATCATTACCTCGTCATCCCATTCTCCTGTCCCCTCAATCTCTACTCCATCCCACAGTCTTCTCAATTTCTCCTTTCCATTTCACCGTGTATTCCCCCCTTAATCCCCGTCTTCCCCCATCCCTCTCTCCCCTCTCGAGGAGAGGGAAGGAGATGAGGATAGGACAGGGGAGCAGGCTAAGACAGCAGGGTATAAACAGAAGACAGGATAAACAGAAGACAGCAACAGGGTGGTGTAAACACGTACTGGACGAGGCGAGACGATGTGGCAAACAATAAACTGCTTGAAGACATGTTTTAATGCTTGATTTCTTTGTGTTTTTTCAGGTAAGTGTGGAAGCTGCGATGAGTGGAGGTGGTCTGTGGGCGAGGGGTCATCTCTGTGTTGATGCTCCGGTATGTAGGCGGATCTGTGGTGGGTGAACTTGCTCTTCCTTGTGAGATTGAAACAAGTGAGTTTCAAATCACTGAAACGTATGGTTTTATTCTTTACTCATTAAGTGAATGAGTACACTGTGTTATATATATATATAAGTGTGTGTGTGTGTGTGTGTGTGTGTGTGTGTGTGTGTGTGTGTGTGTGTGTGTGTGTGTGTGTGTGTGTGTGTGTGTGTGTGTGTAAATCACGAAAAATAAGCACGTTATTAAATATGTGACAGTGTCAGACCACGGAGGAAAATTGAAATAGGAATTTCCTTAAGTACTTTCGTATATTAATACATCTTCACTCCTGAAGATGTATTAATATACGAAAGTACTTAAGGAAATTCCTGTTTCAATTTTCCTCCGTGGTCTGACACGGTCATATATATATATATATATATATATATATATATATATATATATATATATATATATATATATATATATATATATATATATATATATATATATATATAAAGCATGAGATCAATGGTTCTAACACGAATCTTGTCAATTTTATCTTATGGTTCTCTTCACTTGAGAATGAAATTGAAAAAAAATAACTCTCCAAAGTTCATGTTACAGGTTTATTTAGAGTGACGCTGAGAGATGCGTTTTGTTGACCCTGTCAACATTTTCAAAGGCAGAGTACAAGTGGGGGCACCACTTGGCTGGAACACCAGAATATATATAACCAGGAGTGTTGAGGCGGCGTTGTTTGTGTTGCTTACCTTAGCGTTGTTTGCCAGCTTGTATCTGGCGGTGATCAGGTTGTCTGTAGTGGACCACATATGGTCCTTTAATGGGCCCCGTGCGGGAATAGCGGCTCTCTCACCCCTAGTAACTTATTTTTATAAGACTGCTACCAATATATATATATATATATATATATATATATATATATATATATATATATATATATATGTGTGTGTGTGTGTGTGTGTGTGTTTACTAGTTGTGTTTTTGCGGGGGTTGAGCTTTGCTCTTTCGGCCCGCCTCTCAACTGTCAATCAACTGTTTACTAACTACTTTTTTTTTTTTTTTTTTTTCACACCACACACACACACACACACCCCAGGAAGCAGCCCGTGATAGCTGACTAACTCCCAGGTACCTATTTACTGCTAGGTAACAGGGGCACTTAGGGTGAAAGAAACTTTGCCCATTTGTTTCTGCCTCGTGCGGGAATCGAACCCGCGCCACAGAATTACGAGTCCTGCGCGCTATCCACCAGGCTACGAGGCCCCCTCGTAGCCCACACACACACATATATGTGTGTGTGTGTGTGTGTGTGTGTGTGTGTGTGTGTGTGTGTGTAAAGAATTGGGTTGTTCTCGATAGGTTAGGTGGGCTGTTTGGGTTTGTATGTTTCCGGTGAGGTAAAATTATTGTTTTCTCTCACGTGTCTCGTTCTTTCGCTCGACCTTTTCTCCCTCTTCTCTCCTCTCTCTTTATCCCTCCGACTCCCTCTCTCCACCTTTTCATCCCTCCAGCCCCTCTTACCGCCCCCCCCCCTTCCCCTCTCTCCTTCCCTCTCCCACCCTCTTGAGAATCCCATTCCACCTCGTCATAATGGAACTGGATCGCTTGGCTGCAGATTATCTCTTCTTTGGTAATAGCCTCTATATTTTCTCCTTTGGCAAGTGTATATTTTCTCCTTTGGTAAGTGTATATTTTCTCCTCTGGTAAGTGTATATTTTCTCCTTTGGTAAGTGTATATTTTCTCCTCTGGTAAGTGTATATTTTCTCCTCTGGTAAGTGTATATTTTCTCCTCTGGTAAGTGTATATTTTCTCCTCTGGTAAGTGTATATTTTCTCCTCTGGTAAGTGTATATTTTCTCCTCTGGTAAGTGTATATTTTCTCCTCTGGTAAGTGTATATTTTCTCCTCTGGTAAGTGTATATTTTCTCCTTTGGTAAGTGTATTTTTTCCTGTGGTAATAGTGTGTATATTTTCTCAAGGGGTAAAATTGTGTGTATTTTCTCAGTTGGTAACACTGTGTGTATTATCTCCTTGAGGTGCTGTCGTTCATTATCTGTATTCATCGTTTGTTTTGTATAACTTGTTGTTTTTAACCGCCTGAGTCAACATAAGTGTTCATCGTGAGTCAGGAGAAGCATCCAGAAATCGTGAGTCAATTCAACTATTTATTCATTGTGACAAAGTTCGAGCAAAATGTCAAGTCCAAACACAATGAAAAGCTCTGTACCTCAGGGCACAGTCCTTGAACCGCTGCTATTTCTCATTCTTATCTCTGATATAGATACAAATACTTGTCACAGCTTCGTGACATCCTTTGCAGATGATACAAAAATCATCATGAAAATTTCCTATGTAGGAAATTTCCTATGTTTCCTATTTCCTATTTTTCCATTGAAAAAAATGCCGACATATTAATAAAGTCTTCGATTGGGCAACTGAAAATAACATGATGTTTAACGGTGACAAGTTCCGGGTAATTATGTATGGTGGAAACTAGGAAATTAAACGACACACAGGACACAATCATAGAAGGAAAGCAACATGTAAAAGATCTGGGAATTATGATGTCTGACGACCTGACATTTAGTGAACATAACCGAGAAAATATAGCGGCGGCCAGGAAAATGATAGGATGGATTATGAGAATATTCGAATCCAGAGATCCCACAGCAATGGTAAATTACTGGTGTTGTCCCGTCTTGAGTATTGCTCGGTACTCACTTACCATTTCAGAGCGGGAGAGATCTCTGAATTGGATGGAATACAGAGAACATATACGGCACGCATAAAACATCTAAATTATTAGGACCGTCTCGAAGCTCTCAAACTGTATTGTCTGGAAAGGAGACAGGAGAAGTATCAAATAATATGTACATGGAAGATACTGGAGGGCCAGATTCCAAATGTGCACAGTAGAATATCAACATAATGGAGCGAAAGATACGGAAGTAAATATAAAATTGAACTAGTGAAGAGTAGAGGTGCCATAGGCACAATCAGAGAACACTGAACATCAGGGGTCAACAGCTGTTCAACACCCTCCCAGCAAGCATTAGAAATATTGCTGGAACAAAGGTGGATGTATTCAAGAAGTACTTAGATAAGTTCTTGCAAGAAGTGCCGGACCAACCAGGCTGTAGTGGATGTGGGCCTGCGGGCTCCTCCAAGTTATCACAAATCACACCAAGTGACTATCACCAAGTTGTCACAAGTCGAGACTGGCCTCAGGCCGGGCTCGGGGAGTAGAACTCTCGAAACCCTCTCCAGGTATGCTCCAGGTACGAGCCATGAGTCAGTGTGAATAAACCATCGTGAGTCATTGTTAGTACTCATTGTGAGTCAGTATTCAATTGTCAGTCTCAGATTACCTCTCCCCTACACCCAGTGGTGACTCTCCCCTACACCCAGTGGTGACTCTCCCCTACACCCAGTGGTGACTC